AAAAAAAAAAAAAAGCTTTGTCATTATAGTAGAGCATGATGCTTTGATCTTCTTCGTCTTTCCTTTCTTCTCATTCTCTGGCAAAGGTGTCAATACTGCAAGATTAGAAATCATGTGGAGACAGTGCTGGTTAAAATAGGGGGAAAGGGATGTGGTTGCATAAGATATTTTGGAAGACAGTTTAGTAGTCTTCAGTGTACATAGCACTGATCCAACAGTTTGATTTTTAAGGATTTTCCTACAAATACAGTCTCACAGGCACAGAAGAATGTATTTATACCTATGACTATCTTCACAAATTTATATGTAATGTGTGGAAAATATATATATATTTATATATGTGTATGTCTGAATTAATTTATTTATACAGGTTGAGCTTTCTAATTTGAAAACATGAAAGCTAAAATGTTCCAAATTCTAAAACTTTTTAAGTGTTGACATGATACACCACTGAAAAATTCCACACCTTTTCTCACCTGATAGGTCACAGTCAAACCACAGGTGCACTAAATGGGAACATGCACACCTGTAAATCCCAGTGACTTGGGAAGCTCAGGCAAGAGGATCACAAATTTGAGATCATCCTGGGTAATTTAAGGAGACCCCTGCGGGGCGGGGAAGGGCTGGAGATATAGTTCAGTGGTAAAGCACCTCTGGATTCAATCCCTAATATATTTAAAAAAAAAAAAAAGTTTTGTATAAGTATTTTCTTTTTTGGTGAGGGAGGTAGGGAGTACCAGGGATTGAACTCAGGGGAACTCGATCACCGAGCTACATCCCCAGCCCTGTTTTGTATTTTATTTAGAGATAGGGTCTCACTGAGTTGCTTAGCACCTTGCTTTTTTTGAGGCTGGCTTTGAATTCACTATCCTCCTACCTCAATCCTCCAGATACTGGGATCTCAGGCATGCACCAGTTTATTTTCTTATTTTTTAGAGGGATTTGAAAAAGAAAAAGTGAACTTTAACAATGGAGGCTGAGGGGCTGGAGCGCTTGGGTTCCATACCCAACATCGCAAAAATACTAGATAAATATATAAATTATATAAATCGACCCCCACCCCAACAACAACAACAAAAACCCCACACAATGGTAAACCCTAGAGTTAGTTGGGGTTGGGGGGGATATATGAGGAGGGCTGTCTGTTTTGCATATATTTACATCCAGAATCGTTAAATATGAATAAATTAAGTTAACTGAAATGGTACAGAATACCAATAATTGAAAAATAAATAAACCCCAGATAAAGCTCGATATGGTTTGGTATTACTGAGGTTTTTCCGCAGCGGTTCCTACTTATAAAGTTCCGGCTGTCAAAGTGCACCGGTAAATTTTTAAAATGTTCCTTTATTCCTTGACAGTGACTAAACGCTGAATTCAAAATAGCTCTCTCAACATGGTGACACATTCCTGACAAGACGATCACTTAAAAGACCTTCTCAAAATGGCTGTTCCATTCTTGCTCCACTGAAGACCAACCTAGAGCAGGACCTTCCCAACATGGCGACACAAGACTCGATCGTCACTTCCTGCAGGATGCCGGATATAAGGAGCAGGATTTCCGCTTTCGCTCCTTTCCGGCGGTGACGACCTCCCCACGAGAACATGCCTGTGAGTTCCTTGGTCCAGGTTTCAGCGGAGATCTCGCTCTTCTGTCCGCACGCTCCCCTCACGCTGATTTCGCCTCGTAGAGGGTCCTCAGTAACCCTCTGCACTTCTTAGGACCTTAACTCCAGGGACCGCAGCGGCCCACGGGCCACCCGCATAGACGGGAGCGGAGAGGAGATAAGATGGCGGCCCAGCTACGCAGACACCAGGGGCGGCGAGGGGCGAGTTCTCCCCGGTGTGTGACAGTGGGGGCTGTTTTCCATCGTCCCCTTTTCGCCGTTGGTTTCTAAACCTCTGCGTTTCTTCCCCTCTTAGCTCGCAAAGGATCTCCTTCATCCCTCTCCGGAAGAGGAGAAGCGGAAACACAAGAAGAAGCGCCTGGTGCAGAGCCCCAAATCCTATTTCATGGATGTGAAATGCCCAGGTGAGAGGTAGCCTGCTGCAGCAGGAGAAGCAAGGGACACCCCCGGCGGGGAGGGCCGTGCTAGTTGTGCCACATCCTTGAAGCAACTCAGCAGCTTGGGTTTCTAAATCTGTTAGAAGGAGATAATGCTACTCCCGATTCGAATACATGAAACTGGCAATACAGTTTTGTTTTTTAGGAGTAATTGAATTCCGTGCTCTCCGGTCAAAAGTGCATATAAAGATTGTACTTTTTTTTTGTCTTAGGAAACACTAATGGGATGTTGAGTTGGGATATTAAGTGAGAGAAAAATATGGTAGTAATATTGGAGAAAAATGTTAACTCTTTGCCTGATTTCCATCTCCCCAGGATGCTACAAAATCACCACAGTTTTTAGCCATGCACAAACAGTAGTTTTGTGTGTTGGCTGCTCCACTGTCCTCTGCCAGCCTACGGGAGGAAAAGCAAGGCTTACAGAAGGTAAATGGCTCAATGTTGTGGTTTTTGGCTTTGAATCTTAAAGAGAAAGGAATCCGTATAAATGAGTTAAGTAGCTAATGGAGTTGAGGGAGACATGTAGCATTCTGAGATGGATCACCAGGCTTCTGCTAATTTTATGAGGGTGGGGCAGTGGACAGGGTAGGTAGCCTGTCAGGTAATCTTCAAACCATTTTCTTCCAGGATGTTCCTTCAGGAGGAAGCAGCACTAAAAGCAGCCTGAATCAAGATGAGTGGGAAAACATCCCAATAAACACATTTTGGATATATCCTGTTTATTGTCTTGTTTAACTGCTAGGAAGTTCCTGCCTCAAGTATTCAGGGGCATCCAGAAGAGTGGAATGCTAGAGTCATTTGGGGCAAGTAAGTGGTCAAATACATTTTATCCACCTAGGCTCATTGGGTGGATCTTCAGGGATTGATTTAAGAATGGGAATACTAGATAAACATGAGAGTGACTTTTATGTTTTCTTAGTATTAGTGTTAATCTGTAGAACACAACAAACAACTTTAATAAAAATACAGCTTAACATTTTTTATTGATGATTGTCAGAACCCTTGTATTGGAGGCTTAGTGTAGAAGATTGCTGGTAGGCTCCTTGTCTAGGGCTAAAAATATTCCCTCAGTTAAAGGGGACTTGCCCAAGCACAGGTTAGTGCCTTATGCTCCATAACCAATGCTGTAGTCGACTCTGGGTCAGTGGGGGTTGTGGGCTCAAGAAAGGAGGAGAACTTGCGGAGGTATAAGAACCTGAAAGTAAAGGGGGAAGGAAGTTGATGAAGTTCTGAGTCAATCAGGCATGTAAACTTGTGCTTCTGAGGTCTTTACCTGGCTGTGGTGTTCCTATAGTTGGTACATAAACCACAGGAACGGTCTGAATCTTGTTTAGGAAGGCACTGTATGCTAGAAAAAGGAAAAGGGAGATGTCACAAAAAGCTTACTTTTTTATCAAATATTTTAACTGGAAGAAGGCCTTAAAGAGTAAAAGTCCACTCTTACCATGAGAATAAGTATTGATATAGAAAGAAATGCCCTCTGTCCATGAATTCAACCAACTGAGAATCAGAAATAATTTGGAAAAATGTATATAGTGAACATGAAGACTTTTTTCCTTGTTATAACCTGAATGGCATAGTATAATAACCATTTATAGGATTTGCATTGTATTAGTATAAGTAACTAGAAATGACTTAAAATGTGTAGGAGAGATGTGTAAATTATGTCATTTGTACAAGCAAGGCACAGGAATATCTGGATTTGGGATGTTATTTTTTATTTTTAGTTATAGATGGACACAATACCTTTATTATTTGTTTACGTGGTGCCGAGGATCGAAACCAGTGCCACACACACACTAGGCAAGTGCTGAACCAGTGAGCTACAACCCTAGTCCTGAATTTGGGATGTCTTGGCTTCTGGAAGTAATATCCCCCCAAAATACTTGGACACTGTAACTTAAGTAATACACTTACTGGAAATTTTATTTATCCCAATTTAAACCATCTTAAGGTATTTTCTTTTTATTTGTCTAAAAGATGGGAGATGCGTGTAGCCAGTGGTGATGGAATATTGAATCCTCCCTAGCCACTGGTTGGAGTAACAGTAGCAGTTGTCTGAAGGCTAAGCAACAATGGTATTTCACTTTAGTGGTTTCCACTTTAGTGATATATCATAGTTTGCCACATCCAGTATACCATTTTGTAGTAGAAAGCTGAAGATGGCATTAAGTGATTGGGCTAGGGAGGCTAACTCGTGTCAACTACTTGTCACAAATTAGATATGATAAACAGCTAATTTTCATCCTCATTTAGTTTGTGAAATAAAATGAAGGCAGTTTCCAAGTCAAAGTCCACGGTGCTGAATATAAGGACTCCTTACCTAGAAAGATGAAAGCTGTTGATGCCAACACCGCAAAGAGGGTAAAGAGGAGGATCTGGTAAGAACCAATGAACCGCTTGAAGACTCCTGAACCTTCACACTGATCTGTGCATTGGCCATAACAAGATAATAGTTAGACACATCCAGGGCAGATGTTGCATTGAAGACAGGGTCTTAAGAGTATCCAGCAGAAGCACTCAAAACCCAGCCCTTTTATGAAACTTGAGGTGTGAACTCGTTCCTTCACCTCTTTTTAGCTTCTCATATCTCCAAATAATAAAATCTTCAAATTTAAATGTTAGTCTTCTCAGGTTTCAAGGGGTGCTTTAGATCCCTTTGCCACCTTAAAATGCCTGTAAAACCCATTCTGTGTATTTTAACCCCAGGTGCCATGTTTTCTTTCACTAAACTTGTGATAGTCTCTGCTAACCAAAATATTTCTTCAGATCACCAGTTACCTCCTAAATTCATTGGTCCCTTGTCTTCAGGATGTCATTTCTAGGGAATTCTTCAGTTTGTATCAATAAAACTCCAGACATGTTTTTGAAGCCAACTTGGCATCTGTTTGATTTTTTCAAATTCTTCAGTGCTTATAAATGAACTCCACTCTTGCCAAACTGCCTGAATTCCAGGACTTATAATGGATTACTAGGTTTTCATACCTGGTTGCTATTCTGCACTCCTAGTAGAGCCCTGCTTCTGAACTCATAAAACATAACCCAAAACTGTCCTTGACCTCTTATAATCTCATGAACCCAAAGGAGCCACATCCCTAGCCCTTGTAATTTTTTCAGACAGCTGCTTAAGGCTTCACTTAGTTGCTGAAGCTGACTTTGAATTTGGGATCCTCCTGCCTTAGCCTCCTGAAGTGCTGGGATTACAGGCATGTGCCACCACACCCAGCTCATTCACACTATTTGCAAACTGCTTCCCTCTGAAGAATTTTGAGATTTAAGGTGTGCACAGGGATTGTACACTAATCTCTGATCAGATCCCACTGTTCAAATCTGGCTTTCCGGAGTCCATAGGCTCAGAATCCAAATAAAATGTGAACAGCATCATCTGTACCTGTCCATTCTGATTATAATGATCTAATGTCTGTCTCCCCAAACCTGGCCCTTTTCTCCACCCAACCCCACCACTGTGGATTGAACCCAAGAGTCATGTAATAGGCAAGTGTTCTACCACCATCCCTAGTCCTTCCTCCCCTTTTAAATTTTCAACAAACATTTTCAATAAATTGCCAAAGCTGGCCTTGAATTTGGCAATCCTGCCTCAGCTCTGGAGTTGCTGGAATTATACGAGTGCACCATCATATCCTGCTTCTATCACTAAGCAATACTCCCAGTCTTATTTTTTTGTTTTGAAATGAGATCTCATTAAATTGCTGAGGCTACACTCAAAACTGTCATCCAAGCTGAGCCTCCCAAATTGCTGGGATAATAGATATGAGCCTCCATGCCCAACACCCCTTGCTTTTTTTTTTTTAAATATCAGGGATTGAACCCAGAGGTGCTGAACTGCTGAGCCACAATCTCATCCTTTGTTGAGACAGGGCTTTGCTAAATTGCTTTTGAACTTGGGATCCTTCTATCAGCCTCCCAAGTCACTGGAATTACAGGTGTACACCACCACACCCAGCTCCTTTGCAGTTATTATGCAATTTTTTATACTTGGGCAGTTTTGGCAGTCTGGCGAAGCCTATGAATACCATCTGAGAGTCCATAAAATAAATAGGAAGGATACTTATCAAAGTAAAGTCAGTTAAAGTAGGAAAAAAAATTGGTGTCATGGTTACGTTGTACAATTGTCAAAATGTTAAAAAGCCTAGTTGTGCTATAGTAGTGTTATTAATAGCAGCAACAAAAATGTAGGAATAGATATGATTGTAATGTAATTTGGAGGTTAAGAAATTCGAGATCTGAAAATAAATCTCTGGATGATTTTTTTGTTTGTTTGTTTTTGGTGGGGCATGGTCCTGACGATTGAATCCAGGGGTGCTTTGCCATTGAGCTAAATCCCTAGAACTTTTGTTTTTTATTTTGAAATAGGGTTTTGCTAAATTGACTACGCTGACCTCAGCCTCCTGAGTTGCTGGGATTACAGCAGGAGGCAGGAGAGAGGGCGTCTGTTTTAGCAGGATGGATAGCAAGACTACCTGGCTGTGGATAAGAATTAAAACAATAGTGAAGATATGCTTAGTATACTGATCATGAGAAAAGTCAACAAAAACTCCCATTAGAATATGCCCTAGAGTTAGGCCAGTTCACTCCCAATAATTATGTTGCCACATGTAGTGGCATATGTCTAATCCTAGCCTCTCAGGAGTCTGAGGCCACCCTGGGCCACTCAACAAGATCCTGCTTTAAAAAAATAAAAAGCACTGGGGGTATTTATTAGTGGTAGAGCACCCTGTTTGATCCCTAGACCACAAAAAATCCAAAAACAATACTTGTTTTTTTTTTTTTTTTCCTAAAGAGAGGGAGAGAGGAGGGAGAATTTTTAAATATTTATTTATTTATTTTTAGTTTTCGGCAGACACAACATCTTTCTTTGTATGTGGTGCTGAGGATCGAACCTGGGCTGCATACATGCCAGGCGAGTGCGCTACTGCTTGAGCCACAATCCCCAGCCCAATACTTGTTTTCCTTGAGGGGTGAAAAGTTTAAGGAAGATGTTCTCTGGTTTTCCTAACACCTGTTTTCATAACTTGTTCCCCTCCCATCCTAATTTAGCATAATTTCTCAACTGGGTAATATCTGAAATCAGGATTTGGGGAATCTTAAATTTATATCTTAAATCTTTAACTTTGTCAATCTAGGGTTGACATTTGTCCATTGTCTGATGTAGAAAGATCTCTTAATACTTCTGAAGAAGACAAAACATTTATCCAGCAGAAGTTTAAAGCAGGATAAATGGTATACTTACAAAACTGAGACACTAATGGGAAACTGACATAACTTACTTTTTTCTTTATATACAGTAACTGGGGATTGATCCCAGGCCTTGCACACACTAGGCAAGTGCTCTACTACTGAAGTACACCCTTAGCCCTTTTTTTTTAATAATTATTATTTTATTTTGAGATAGGGTCTCACTTAGATTGGCCTTATACTTGCAATCCTTCCAACTCAGCCTCCCAAATAGGGAATTAGAAGTATGTGCCACCACACCCATCTTATAACTATTCTTATTTAACCAATTTTGTCCCAGGTCCCAGTTACATTTGCCCAATGTCATTTACAGGATAACTTATGTATGTAAAAGATACTATATTGTCCTCGTGTCATATTTATAAGACAATGTATTTTATTTTTTTGTACCAATGATTGAACTCAAAAGTGCTTAACCACTTAGTCACATCCCCAGCCTTTTTTTTTTTAATTTTTTTTTTTTTTTTTTTAATTTTGAGACAGGGTCTTGCCAAGTTGCTTAGGGCCTTATTATATTGCTGAGACTGGCATCGAATCTGTGATTCTCTTGCCCTAGCCTCCTGAGCTGCTGGGATTATAGGCATGTGCACCCAGCTGTACTTTCATTCTTAATGAAAACAAAGGATATACGAGCTTTAGGTTATGATTTCCTACATATTTTAATGCAGTTGTGTCAATTTTATTGAAATATTTGCAGAATTGTAAATTTGGGACTTAATGACTTAAATATAAAATTTAGATAGTGTAAAGCTACCTAGTGTTAAGCTACCTAAGCATATTATTTTGGATCGGTTGGAAGAGATCCAAGCCTCAATAGTTTATCTTGGTGAAGAGGCTGAATATTTCCTGCTGATGAAATGGTGAATGCATTCTGTTTTTTCCTCCTAGATTAAAAATAGTCCCAAGTGCTCACCTGCACCAAACTTCTCCTTCATAGCTCTCACTACCACAGCCTCACTTTGACTGGTGAGCACACAGGAAATATTAATGAAAACAGGTGATGCCATCTGCTGGAAGGCAGTAAAGTTGACAATTCTTACAGGATAGACAGCCAGGCCAGGGGTGAGCAGAGACTGACTATGATCAGAGATCACTAGAACTGGGGAGCTGGGGAAGACCTTGAATAAAAGATAAAACAGCATTTTTTTTGAAAGAACAAAAATATATGTTGTAGCAATATGTTCCAATTGCAAACACATACAGTATAAGAATTGTCAAGATATGGACTTTAAACCTACCAGCTAGTGATACTTTCTCCCCTTAGAAGTATTGAAGAATAAGGAATAAAATGAACTCTGAGATGAAAATAAATTTAAGGAAAAATTTAAAGATTATTTTAATCTAAAGATTATTTTAAAGGAATTAACAAATTTATGACCTAGATTTTGTGAAGAAGACAAGTTTTCATCATTCAATTTAAGAATTACCTATGGTAATTTTTATCAGGTCACTCAGTAACTTCCTTTATTGTTGGAATGAGAATAAAAAGTCATTCAAATCCCTAAGCTCCCTTAAAGTTTTGGTTCAGACTTCAACATACCTCTAGGTTCTCAAGAACTCTGTCAACTCCCAGCACTTTAATCTCCCCAACGTCTCCTTTGTGTCTGAGAACCAATTCTGACTGGTTGATGTAAAAGGCTGGAAGGAAAGGAATGAGGATTCTTTGCATTCCATTCTTGCTACGTTCACTGACCAGTGTGGCCCACCCGTAGACTGAGGTGACAGCCGTGCTGAGGGCCTGAAGCAACTCTTCTGACTGTGGTCTAACCTGGATTAGGCAGACATAAACCCCTGGGGGGGAAAAAAGGAGACAATGAACAGGAAGATCCAGAGGCTCTGTTGAGCCAAGAATTAAGACAGGGAAAGTTGGTGACATGTAAATTCAGCAAAAGAGAAAATGTGAACTCAAGTATTCAATGTCAGCACACTATTGGCCACACTCAGAGGATACTGAAGAAAAACAGTCCCAGGGATCCCACAACTGAACTTATTGCCTAAGTAGCTTTACTGGTAAGTCAACATGTCAGAAAGTATTGAATAACATGGCACAAGCAGGGCAATGAAGGATGGAGGACAGAGAACAAAGATGATCTCTGAGCATGGTTTAATCACTTTTCTTCAAGTCACTCTTCTTTTGTTGTTGTTACTGGGGATTGAACCCAGGGGCACTTAACCACTGATCCACATCCCTAGCCGTTTTTATTTTTTATTGAGACAGTCTTGCTAAGGCTGACTTTGAACTTGTGATCTTTCTGCTTCAGCCTCCCGAGCCACTGGGATTACAGGTGTGCATCGTAACACCCAGCCCAAACCACATTTTTTTTTTTTAACCAGTGCTGAGGTTGAACTGAGAGTCTCACATGGCTAGGCAAGTGCTTTACCATCTTCTCCAGGGCTATATATTGCTTGGAATATACCATTCTCTTTACATCTAGCACATTCCCAGTTAGTTCATCCTCCCTCCCTCCCTCCTTTTCTTCCATCCCAGGGGTGCTCTTATCATTGAGCTTTATCCCAGGTAGCCATCCCCGTTTTTTGTACTGGAGATTGAACTTTATCTTTATCTTTATCTTTATCTTTATCTTTATCTTTATCTTTATCTTTATCGCTGAGCTATATATCCCCAGTCCTTCTGTGTGTGTGTGTGTGTGTGTGTGTGTGTGTGTGTCACACATTTTCATATATACATATTTTGTTTTGTGGTGCTGGGGATTGAACCCAGGGCCTTGTGCATGCAAGGAAAATACTCTACCATCTGAGTTATATCCTCAGCCCATTTTCATATATATATATATAGTACAGGGGATTGAACCCAGTCTCACGCATGCTAGGCAAGCACTCTACCAACTGAGCTATGTCCCCAGCCTTCATATATATTTTTTTAAAATAATTTTTTAGTTATTGATGGACATTTATTTATTTATTTATATGCGATGCTGAGAATCTAATCCAGTGCCTTACGCATGCTAGGCAAGTGCTCTACCACTGAGCTACAATCCCAGTCCTATATATGTATTTTAAGACGGGGTCTTGCTATGTTGCTTAGGGCCTTATTAAGTTGTTTGTGGCTGGCCTCAAACTTGGAATCCTGCCTAAGTCTCTAGAGTCATGGGATTCTACAGGGATGTGCCACCATGTCTGGTTAAAAGTTTAGCTCTTTTCTTCCCCTCTGGGGATCAAACCCATGGCCATGTGCAAACTAGGCAAACACTTTACCACTGAGCTACATCCCTAGCTCTGCTTTACTCTTTAATTAAATTCCTGTCCTAGTACCAGGTATTATATTTGGTTGATTGCTGAATGAACCTTCCTTCAGTGGTTGCTCATTCCCCATACCATTCAAAATGCCTATTTTTGTATTTTATAGCTAGAGTTTCCCCATGTAGTACTATCCTATTTATGAATTAAATTTGACACAAGTTTTATCATTTTAGGTCAGTTGATTTATATCAAGTCACCTTAGTGTCATGCCTATTTCTGATTTCCACTTGTTAAAGCTACTCTTTTGCTTGGAATATCCTTCAGTTATAAAATAAACATTCAGCTGGGTGAGGTGGTGCATGCCTGTAATCCCAGCAGCTTGGGTGGCTAAGGCAGGAGGATCTTGAGTTCAAAGCCAGCATCAAAACTTAGTGAGATCCTAAGCAATTCAGTGAGACTCTTTCTCTAAATAAAATACAAAATAGGGCTGGGGATGTGGCTCAGTGGTCAAGTGCCTCTGAGTTCAAATTCTAGTCCAAGATAATGAATAAACATTCAAACATTGTGTTATATGCTAGGGATAAAAGATGAATGAGACACAATCCAGACCCTCAAAGAGAATATAGAAACTAAAAAAGGGGTGTGTGTATAAATTTTAATAGAAAAGTATAGAGTGTTCAAGGAGGCATGTATTAAAAGTCTGTTGAATCAACTGAATGAAAATGTTAATGAGAAAGATTCTACAATGATATTTCAGATAAAACTGAAAGCATAAATACAATCCAATAAGAAAGTGACATTTATACAAATAGGAAAACAGAAGGGGGAAACTATTCAACTGGTAGACCTTACCTTTCTCCATGCTGAAGTCTGAATGGACATGAAAGACTTTACTTGCTGGAATGTCTAGTAAAGTATTACTGAATTGTACATGGCACAGCATGAGAGTCTCTGGAAGAAGTACTTTTGTAATGGCCAAGGCCTGATTTGGAGTACAGGATCCTAAGAAGCAGAAAAGACATAAATAACAGTCACAAGAATTTGTAAAATGAGGGATGAAACCATTATATGGAGGCAATTTGGTTTCATTAAAAAATCAAGATGACTCAGGAGGCTGAGGTAGGAGGATCTCAAATTTGAGGACAGCCTCAGCAGTTTAGCAAGGATCTAAGCAACTTAGTGAGATCCTGTCTCAAAAGATAGAAAGAGTTAGGGATGTAGCTCAGTGGTATAGTGCTCTGGGTTTAATCCCCAGTACCAAAAAAGCAAGAAAAGTCAGTGTGCCTAGCTCTGCTTGCCCCTGCTAGGTTTTTTTTTTTTTTTTTTTTTTAATCTGTTTTCAGCACTGGGGATTGAACTAGGGCCTCATGCATGATAGGCAAGTATTCTACCACTGATCTACATCTGTAGCCTCTATGCTAGGTTTTTGTTTTTGTATCAGGAATTGAACTCAGAAGCTCTTAACCATTGAGCCATATCCCCAGCCTCCCTCCCTCACCCCTTTTTTTTTGAGACAAGTCTCTAAGTCCTTAGGGCCATGCTAAGTAACTGAGGTTAGTCTTGAACTTGTGATCCTCCTGCCTCAACCTCCCTAGTTGCTGGGATTCCAGGCACATATCACCACTCCAAGCATCTGCTAGGTTTGGAATGACTACCGTGGGGTTTCCATTATCAATATCACACAAACTAGTATCCTTTTTCAAAGGTTTTTGGAATTCAGGGCTGGAGACATTGGATAGCTATTAACAATAAAGGTTCCAGGTAGCTTTTAAGTCTAGGAAGGTTTGTTTTCCATAATTACTTGTAGTGTGACTCAGGACAAAAATCATGAGAACTTCATCACAAGTGGTGTCTTATCTAGAACCATCTAGCCAGGAAGAAATGAATTAATGCTAAGACTTCGTTGTCTGCAATGGATGGGTTCTTACAGAATGAGTAGGACTTGGTGTCCTGTTAACCAGATTTGCCCCTGCACAGTTGCCTGGTAGCTTCAGTTGGCTGAAGCTCTTTCTCATTTGCCTACGCGTAGTCCAGTGACCATTCAGACAGACACTATCAACAACATCAAAGGGACCTACACATTGTTTCTCAATAAATTAGTTGTAATTCAGGAGGAAAAATTGTAGTCTGTTCATAAAATTATAAGTTGAACAACAGTGGACGACTGTTAAAAAGAAAATTTTTAATACTTTTTCCTCTGTAAAAGAACAGAGAAAAACTTAAAAATGTCATTCTTTACTTATATATAACTTAGGTTATATTTGTAACAAAATTAAATAGCTAATGTAAAAAATATGTTGACTGTAAAACTGAAGGACAAAAAGCAAATAGTTAAATTATCTTAAATTTTATTTTTATTTTTTGGATGCTGATGATTGAACCCAGGGCCTTACGCGTTCTAAGCATGTGCTCTTCACCACTAAGCTATGCACATCAGACCTCTGTCTTAAGTTTTACAGACAATAATGATGTATTAGATTTGTTCACTCTATTTTGGATTTTCTCATGGCCAACAAAACAAAACAAACACTGAAATTTGTTCTTTATTAAGGAAGGAAGAAAAATGATCATGGACTTTGGGGTAAGACATATCTACCACTTCCATCACTGACTAATTGCTAACTTGCACAAGTTACTCTGTTTTTAGACTCAGTATTTTCATCTTTATCTTCCCCCCCTTTGGTACTGGGGACTGAACCCAGGGGTGCTGTACCACTGAGTTGTTTGCCAGTCCTTTTTGTTTTTGTTTTGAGATAGGGTCTCATCAAGTTACTGAGGCTTCAGACTTGTGACCTTCCTGCCTCAGCCTCCCAAATTGCTGGGATTACAGGGGAGTGCTACCATGCCTGGGTAGTATTTTCATTTTTAAAGTTAGGATAATAATTACTACATGATAAGATTGTTAAATGAGATAAAATTTACAAAAATTCCTAGCATAGGATCCAGAATCTATTAGGAGGTTCTTAATTTTAATTTTCTTCCATTTGCCCTTTTTTTTTTAGAGTAATACATAGGCTAAAGAGAACAAAAATGAAGCAAAAGTGGGTGTAGTGGCCCTACTTGTAATTTCTCTTTTGATTTTCTGTAGGAGGATCAAAAATTTGAGGCCAGCCTGGGCAATTTAGGGAGACCCCATCTCAAAATAAAAAGTGCTAAGCATGCAGGTCAGTGGTAGAGTGTCCCTGCCATCCCAGTACCACAAATAGAAAAGAAAAGAAAAGAAACAAAAACATAAAAGACAAACTACTAAGCAAATAACCCTTCAGAGTTGCCATCATGGTGCATGCCTGTAATCCCAGCTACTCAGGAGACTGAGGCAGGAGCAGTATAAATTTGAGGCCAGCCTGTGAAATTTAGCAAGACTTGTCTCAAAAATAAAATAAGAAAAAAATTTTTTTCCAGATATAATCTACTTCAACAATTCTCAACTCAGGGAAGCTTTAAAATAGTTGATTCCTAGGCCTTACCCTGAACTTATTAATTATTAAACCTGAGGATGATGCTGGGCTCAGTGGCACATACCTGTAATTCTAGACACTTGAAGTTTAAGGAAGGAGGATCTCAAGTTTGAGGTCAGCCTGGACAGTTTAGCATGATTCTATGCAAAATGAAAAAATAAAAATAAAGGGCTGGGATCTAACTCAGTGGTAGCTGCCCTGAACTTAGCAAGATCCTGTCTCAAAAATAAAAAGAGCTGAGGATATAGCTCAGTGGTAAAGCACTTCTGGGTTTGATCCCCAGTAAAGCACATACACACAAATATCTCTGGATGGAGCCTAAGAGCCTGTAGTTTTTAAACTACAAAGACAAATGTGACTTAAATTAAGCATATTATAAAACCTTGGGGCTGGGGATGTGGCTCAAGCGGTAGCAGGCTCGCCTGGCATGCGTGCGGCCCAGGTTCAATCCTCAGCACCACATACAAACAAAGATGTTGTGTCTGCCGAAAACTCAAACATAAATATAAAAAAATTCTCTCTCTCTCTAAATCTCTCTCTCTCTCTCTCTCTCTAAAAAAATAAATAAATAAAAATAAAAAACAAAACCTTGATCCAGGCTGAGGGTGTAGCTCATATTTACCCAGCATGCTCAAGGCCCTGAGTTCATCCCCAACCTGGGGAAAAAAACAAAAACAGAAACATAAACAAGGCAACAATAAAAGCACCTAAACTTAATCCATTGATCAATTCTGAAGCCTCATAGATCTCCATGGTTTTTCAAGATGGAGTCAATTTTGAAATAAAAAAGAAGATTTCCCAGTGATTCAGAAGGCTGAGGCAGGAGTATCACAAGTTCAAAGCCAGCCTCAGAAACTGGGTAAGACCCTGTCTCGTAATAAAAAATAAAAAGGACTGGGTATGTGGCTCACAGGTAAAGCGCCCCTGGGTTCCAGCCCCAGTTTAAAGAAAAAATGGAAATTTATATTACTAATCCAGATAGGAAAGATGGAAACATTCACTCATACCTATAAAGAAATTCCTGACCTTTGAGATTGATACCATTTCTGCCAGTGGTGATGAAAAGTTTGAATACAGTTGAATTAGGGGTGTTAGTGAGATGAGTCTTGAGGTCATAACTGAGAGTTAATCTTGATGATGCGTTGACGACCACCTGTCAGCAAATCAAAGGAAAACCTGTGTTCTTAGAGAATCTGCTTCCCTCCCTGTCTACCCATCATCACTTATTTAAACAAAAGCATCCATTTTGCATAAATACAAACTCTAACCTAGTGATCAAATACATAAGAACCACAAAATCTATGTACCTTTTAGAAGAAAATATTTTTTTTCTAGAAAGAAATCTTTGTCCATTATTCCTTCTGACATATCTTCCCTGTTTATGACTCCCTATGCTTTTTAAAATGATCACAACTTGGGCTGGGCTTGTGGCTCAGCAGTAGAGTGCTTGCTTAGTACATGCAAGGTGCTGGGTTTGATTCTCAGCACCACATAAAAATAAATAAATAAAATAAAGGTATTGTGTCCAACTAAAATAAAAAAAATGATCACAACTTTCTTTAGGAAGTTTTCTTTTTCAATTGCATATACTCTCAAACTTCTCTGAAGGTTGTACTTTGTTCTTCTCAACATACTTGTAGCATTCTACTTTATTTTATTTATACTTTTTATTTATTATTTATTTAGTCCTAGGGATTGAACCCAGGGGTGTTTAATCATTGAGCCACATCCCA